ATCCAGGGGCGCATGCACGGCGTCAAGGTAAACTCTGCGCTTCTCTTCACTCTCCCCTGTCTCGGTATTTGGAACGGGCAGGTGGTGAAGTTCTAGCGGGGACTGTGCCGTTTGTGAGTATACTGAGGCCATGTCCAAGTTGTCCGCAGAAGCGCCGCAGAGTATGGAAGAAGCTTCCATTATCGCCGCCGAGCAGAATCAACCAGCGGGTCCTCAGCAACATGGTGATGGAGAGGCCATGTTCAAGCGAGGCAACATGCTGAGGGACGGCGGCGACGGAGTTGAGAAGGACTCCGCACGAGCCGTTAAGATGTACGAGGGAGCGATTGAGGAAGACGGTCATGTCGGCGCAATGGTGGGCCTCGGCAATCTACTGACAGAGGGCGCGGAAGGGGTCAGCATCAATGCACAGCGCGCTGTGAGGCTGTATGAACGCGCGGTGCGGCAATACGATGATGCGGACGCAATGGTGAAACTCGGAAAACTGCTGGTGAAGGGGGCAGAAGGAGTAGAAACGGACGCAGTACGGGCTGTGGAGTTGTATGAAAACGCAATAGACAAACATGAAAATGTTCGGGCGATGGCGAAGCTTGGATTCCTGCTGGAGGAGGGTGCAGAGGGAGTGGAGAGAAATTTGGGTCGGGCTGTCGAGCTGTACGAGCGTGCGATCGAGAAATCTCATGATTGCGACGCGATGTTCAACCTAGCAGATTTATTGAGCGAGGGAGGGGACGGGGTGGCACAAAATTCAGCGCGGGCTGTGGAGCTGTACGAGGATGCAATTAAGGAGCACGACGATGTCGAGGCCATGGTGAATCTCGGTTGCTTGCTGCAGACGGGCGCAGAGGGGGTGGAGAGAAATGTGAGTCGAGCTGTCGAGTTGTACGAACGTGCGATCGAGAAATCTCATGATTGCGACGCGATGTCCAACCTAGCAGGTTTGTTGCGCGACGGGGGGGACGGGGTGGCACAAAATTCAGCACGGGCTGTGGAGCTGTACGAGGACGCGATTGAGGAGCACGATCATGTTAAGGCGATGGTGGGTCTTGGAGTCCTGCTGGAGAGGGGTGCAGAGGGGGTGGAGAGAAATGTGAGTCGGGCCGTCGAGTTGTACGAGCGTGCGATCAAGAAATCTCATGACTGGTACGCGATGTTCAACCTAGCAGGTACATTGAGCAAGGGAGGGGACGGGGTGGCACAGAATTCAGCGCGGGCTGTGGAGCTGTACGAGGACGTGATTAAGGAGCACGACGATGTCGACGCCATGGTGCATCTCGGTTGCCTGCTGAAGAAGGGTGCAGAGGGGGTGGAGAGAAATGTGAGTCGGGCCGTCGAGTTGTACGAGCGTGCGATCGACAGAAGTGGTGATGTCAGTGCCATTTACTATCTCGGACTCCTGCTGGACGATGGGGCGGAGGGAGTGGAGAGAAACGTGGTTCGGGCCATCAGATTGTTCGAGCGTGCGATCCGGGAAGGGCATCATGGCGGCGCTATGTGCAAACTCGCATTCGTGATGATGAATGGAAGGGAGGGTGTTCTGCGGGATGAAGTCCGAGCTGCGAAACTCTTTGAGCGCGCGATCCTGGAGCACAGTGATGTGCACGCGATGACAGGGCTGGGCCTGCTATTATCCCTTGGCGCGGCGGGAGTGGAGAAGAATGTGATTCGCGCAATAGAATTGTACGAGCGCGCGATCGACGAGGCCCAGGATGCCTTTGCTATGGTCGAACTGGCGCGCCTATTGCAGGATGACAGATACTGGGTGCGGCCGAATGCAGCGCGAGCTGCAAAGCTGCTTGAGCGCGCGGTTAAAGAGCACGACGACGTCGAGGCCATGGTGCAACTCGGGGAAATGCTAGTACAAGGCACGGGGGGAGTGCGGACGAACGCGGCTCGTGCGGCGCAATTGTACGAGCGTGCGATCGAGAAGTGCCATAACCGCGACGCTATGCTTAAACTGGCTTGCTTGCTGCGAGACGGAGCGGGCGGGGTTGCGCGGGATGCAGCGCGAGCAGCGAAGCTGTTCCAAGCCGGGATGAACGGGCGCGACGGAGGCGAGGCGATGGAGATTCTCGAGCGACTGGTGCGGGACGCAACCGGGCGGCGCTGAGCCCAGCACGAGGCAGACGGGGCCGATGCATGGGTTCCGGCAATCTGAAAGGGGGGAGGCGGTGGACGACTGCGCGGGTGACTTGTTCACCGACGTCGCGGGCATCGGCGACGTGAGCACGCCTGCGAAGGAGGGAGGGGGTGGCATCCTTGGTGTCACGCGGCCGGCCGAACAAGTGTTCCGTTTCGGTATGTAGAAAATGTCGTTGATCGCTCATGCCCTCCAGAGTATTACCCTGAAGAGCAATGGCTTTAGCAATGGCACCATGGGGAGGTACGATGAGCGACGACGCTGAAGAGGAATGCAAGGCTTGGACATGAAGACATGGGACTGCTAGTGCAACTAGTGCAATGTGTTCTCGTCAGAGCTGGGCCCCACTCGACAGCACGCTGGCCTCAGATGAGCGACGACGCTGAAGAGGAACGCAAGACTTGGACATGAAAACATGGGACTGCTTGTCCAATGTACTCTCGTCAGAGCTGCGACCCCCTCGACAGCGTGCTGGCCTCAGGGGTGGTCTGGGTCTTCAAAAGGGAACAAGGCGGGATGACCGCGGAGGAAGGAGCAACGTCAGGGATCAGGCGCTGCAGCCTGACGCTGAAGCCTCTGCGCCACGGATCCAAGTGTACACGTGACATTGGCCGCTGTTGAATTCTCTGCTGAAATGTGTCTGCTGTGAATCTAGCGGTTGGCTGAAACCGATCTTCGGGAAATTACAGTAAATTTAATTGATAATTACTAAAACAGTAAGCGGAGGATTATGGTCAAGGTGAGGGTCTGGTTAACGGAAGGTGGGGCGACCGGGTCGCCATCGACATCGTTATCCTCGAAGACTCCGCGCACAAACACTCTCTCTGACCTACGCATGCGCGCGACCAGCCCCATTACTCGCGTCATCACAAACAGCACAACGTCTTACCCGCAATGTACAACCCTAGTACGTCCATGCGCCATGAAGGAGAAGGTGCTGAACGCAATGCAGCCAGGGCAGTGGAGCTATACGAGCGGGCAATCGACCAGGCTGATGACGTTACTGCGATGTTCAACCTCGGGGTCCTGCTCGAAAATGGCGCGGAAGGAGTAGAGCGCAATGCGGTACGAGCGAAGGAGTTGTGGGAGAGGGCGATTGACAAGTCTGAGCACGTCGGTGCGATGGTTAAACTCGGGTATATGTTGTGTATGGGCGCGGAAGGAGTAGAGCGCAATGCGGTACGAGCGAAGGATTTGTGGGAGAAGGCGATTGACAATGCTGAGCACGTCGGTGCGATGGTCAGTCTCGGGTTTCTACTGCACAACGGCGCAGAAGGAGTGGAGCGTGACGCGATTCGAGCGAGGGAATTGTGGGAGAAGGCAATCGAGAAGGCTGATGACGTTACTGCGATGGTCAACCTCGGGGTCCTGCTCAAAAAAGGCGCGGAAGGAGTAGAGCGCAATACGGTACGAGCGAAGGAGTTGTGGGAGAGGGCGATTGACAAGTCTGAGCACGTCGGTGCGATGTTTAAACTCGGGTGTATGTTGTGTATGGGCGCGGAAGGAGTAGAGCGCAATGCGGTACGAGCGAAGGAGTTGTTGGAGAAGGCGATCCAGAAGGCTGATGATGTCAATGCGATGCACCTTCTCGGGCTCCTGATGTTTACGGGCACAGACGGAGTGGGGAGGAACGCGGTACGCGCGATACAGTTGTGGGAACGCGTGATCGACAAGGCTGATGACGTCGATGCGATGTATTTCCTCGGGCTTCTGCTGTCTACGGGCGCAGAAGGAGTAGAGTGCAATAAGGTACGAGCGAGGGAGTTGTGGGAGAGGGCGATCAACAAGGCTGAGCACGTCGGTGCGATGGTCAGTCTCGGGGGTCTACTGCACAAAGGCGCAGAAGGAGTGGAGCGTGACGCGATTCGAGCGAGGGAATTGTGGGAGAAGGCAATCGAGAAGGCTGATGACGTCGGTGCGATGTACAATCTCGGGGTTCTGTTGTTTAAAGGCGCGGAAGGAGTGGAGCGGAACGCCGCACGAGCGAGGGAGTTGTGGGAGAGGGCGATCGACAAAGCTGATCACGTCGGTGCGATGCACAATCTCGGGGTCCTTTTCAGAAATGGCGCGGAAGGGGTGGAGCGAAACGCGGCACGAGCGAAGGATTTGTGGGAGAGGGCGATCAACAAGGCTGAGCACGTCGGTGCGATGCACAATCTCGGGGTCCTTTTCAGAAATGGCGCGGAAGGGGTGGAGCGAAACGCGGCACGAGCGAAGGATTTGTGGGAGAGGGCGATCAACAAGGCTGAGCACGTCGGTGCGATGGTCAGTCTCGGGGGTCTACTGCACAAAGGCGCAGAAGGAGTGGAGCGTGACGCGATTCGAGCGAGGGAATTGTGGGAGAAGGCAATCGAGAAGGCTGATGACGTCGGTGCGATGTACAATCTCGGGGTTCTGTTGTTTAAAGGCGCGGAAGGAGTGGAGCGGAACGCCGCACGAGCGAGGGAGTTGTGGGAGAGGGCGATCGACAAAGCTGATCACGTCGGTGCGATGCACAATCTCGGGGTCCTTTTCAGAAATGGCGCGGAAGGAGTGGAGCGAAACGCGGCACGAGCGAAGGATTTGTGGGAGAGGGCGATCAACAAGGCTGAGCACGTCGGTGCGATGGTTAAACTCGGGTATATGTTGTGTATGGGCGCGGAAGGAGTAGAGCGCAATGCGGTACGAGCGAAGGAGTTGTTGGAGAAGGCGATCCAGAAGGCTGATGATGTCAATGCGATGCACCTTCTCGGGCTCCTGATGTTTACGGGCACAGACGGAGTGGGGAGGAACGCGGTACGCGCGATACAGTTGTGGGAACGCGTGATCGACAAGGCTGATGACGTCGATGCGATGTATGTCCTCGGGCTTCTGCTGTCTACGGGCGCAGAAGGAGTAGAGTGCAATAAGGTACGAGCGAGGGAGTTGTGGGAGAGGGCGATTGACAAGGCTGAGCACGTCGGTGCGATGGTCAGTCTCGGGGGTCTACTGTACAAAGGCGCAGAAGGAGTGGAGCGTGACGCGATTCGAGCGAGGGAATTGTGGGAGAAGGCAATCGAGAAGGCTGATGACGTCGGTGCGATGTACAATCTCGGGGTTCTGTTGTTTAAAGGCGCGGAAGGAGTGGAGCGGAACGCCGCACGAGCGAGGGAGTTGTGAGAGAGGGCGATCGACAAAGCTGATCACGTCGATGCGATGCACAATCTCGGGGTCCTTTTCAGAAATGGCGCGGAAGGGGTGGAGCGAAACGCGGCACGAGCGAAGGAGTTGTACGAAAGAGCGATCAACAAGGCTGATCACGTCGAGGCGATGGTCAAACTCGGGATGCTTCTGAATAAGGGCGCGGAAGGAGTGGAGCGTAACGCAGCACGAGCGAAGGAGTTGTACGAAAGAGCGATCAACAAGGCTGATCACGTCGAGGCGATGGTCAAACTCGGGATGCTTCTGAATAAGGGCGCGGAAGGAGTGGAGCGTAACGCGGTACGCGCGATGGAGTTGTGGGAGGGGGCGATTGACAGGGCTGATGATGTCGATGCGATGGTCCTTCTCGGGTTCCTACTATCTAGGGGCGCGGAAGGGGTAGAGCGCAATGCGGTACGAGCGAAGGAGTTGTGGGAGGGGGCGATTGACAGGGCTGATGATGTCGATGCGATGGTCCTTCTCGGGTTCCTACTATCTAGGGGCGCGGAAGGGGTAGAGCGCAATGCGGTACGAGCGAAAGAGTTGTGGGAGAGGGCGATCGACAAGGCCGCTGACATCACTGCGTTGGTCAGTCTCGGGAACCTGCTGTGGAATGGCGCAGAAGGAGTGCCCCGTAACAGGATACGCGCGATGTGGTTGCACTTAAGGGCAATAATGAGCAAGGCGTATAACGGCGGTACAATGGGCGGTGTTTAGGAAGCGTCTGCTGTCTAAGGACGCGGAAATCCTCCCAGAACTGAGCGAGGAGGGCATCGAGACGAACGCCGTGCGGGCTTCGACACTGTATGAACAAGCGATAGTGAAAGGCAATTGCGGTAAAGCGACATGCAATCCTGCGATGACAACGAGGGACGGCGCGGAAGGGTTGGCGCGGAAGGGTTGGCGCGGAAGGGTTGGCGCGGAAGGTGGTGGTGCATGCGGTGGGGCGGTTCGAGATGGACCTCAACGAACGCACGCAGAGAAAATGAGTGGTGTGTCTCGGGGACAAGATGCGGGACGGGGCGGACGGCGTGGGTGCGGACGCAAATCGAGCTGAGCGCTGGTACGAGATGGCGATCGAAGAAGTGAAAAACGTGGAGGCTTTAGGCAAGCTTGCGGCGTTGGAGCGCAGGTCAGATCGGGCGGCAGTGGGCGGAACGAGCGGTGAGCGCGAGAGGCGGGAGGGGAAAACGGAAAGGAAGGTTGGGGCGGGTGCAACCGGGAGGGGGAGGGAAGGAGGGGGGGGAGTTCAAGGCGTGTCTTAACAGGCTGGTTTTTGCTTTGCCTTGCCCGGTTTTGCCAGGAATACTTTTAAATTCTTGACAAATACCGTATGCTTCTTAGGCCGTTGCTTTTCTTAAACACATAAATTAAATTAAAACGTACGAGCCACTCATAGCACGCCAAGTCACTTCTTTGGGCAAGGCAAAGCAAACCGCAGCAAAACGGGGCATGTTAAGACACACCCTCAGGGTGTGTCTTAACAGGCCTGTTTTTGCTTGCCTTGCCCGGTGTTGCCAGGAATACTTTAAAATTCTTAACAAATACCCAATGCTCCTGGCGCCGTCCAGCTGCCCAGCTGACAGAGTCTGACGGACAGCTGCAATGAATCTGACAGAGATCTCCATTGCTGTCAAAAGGACACGATTGCTGCGTGGCAGGTGATCGCGTCCCCATCACCAATGCCATAGATACGAATTAACAAACGTAGTCGACGCACGGCATAACCTAATTTATTGGCGTTGGTCTCCGCGTCGCCGTCGCTGTTGCGGTGTGGTTGGGATGAAAACCCTGACTGACTTTCTCACTGC